GTTCGGTTGAGCGTTAGCCGGAGGCTGTTGCTCGGATCGAAGGTCAGCGGGTTGAGGTTCCGGATCCTGAGGGTCCGGATCTCTTCTGTTCGGTGATCCGTCGATCTGGATCACGGGATCCGGGGTGGATGGATTCGTTGCCTGGTTGGATGGATCCATTCTCAAGTTATGGAGTGAAGGATTCAATTATCTCGTCCCCTCAGACGGCGCCAAAATGTGAGGGATAAAACTCACTTCCTAGTTTAGGTTAGGTTAGGATTGGGGAGAAGACAATCGTGGGCTGAATCCCTTAAGAACTTTAGAGAATGAATACGTTGTTTATATTGATTTTTGGTAGTAAAAGAGTTTACAAGGGTGATCTTGATGATCTAATAGAAAGAACAATGATTGATCAAAAGTGATTAAGAACAATGTGTATTAGAGTCTTGTTATCTTGAATGAGTCGACCCTCTTCCTCTGATCTCTTCTTTCCCTTATATAGCACTAGGTCACGTTCAACTTCTCCCGACGAAGCCTCCGTGATTATCTCCATGAGTTGTGGGATTCGCAACAGCTTCCGCTTGACTAAGTCTCGCACGTCTCTCCGGAGCTGTTTCTTGCTAACTGTTTTGAAGATGAGGTCCCGAATCTTTTGGCCGTGACCTGTTTTTATCGATAGGTAACGATTTCATTTGACCCTCACTTGAGGGGAGGCTTCCTAATGGGCTCGTAAAGCTTCGCAAACGGTTCTTACTATTTGGCCCATTAATTCAGCTAACGGGCTAAATTCGGGCCCAACAGCTTCAACAACTTAACGTATGGAATATATGTAAAGAAAATTAGATTCATTGGCATATGACAAGTACACATATGTAGTTTTTTTTATTCCTTCACCTTCTAAAATTTTTAAATTATTAACTTTTTGGTTTTGCTTTTAGAGAATAGCAGTAGCATACTTTGTTGCTACACTGTGTTAGATTTTGTTTAAAGGAAACCATAATGTCAGCTCAGAGCTATCTATGATTAAGAAGTACAGATTTCACTGGTAAACTGGCCATTTTTTCATATCTCAAAACTTTAAGCATTTGTATACATATGATTTATCATTCTTTTAATTTGACAGGGTGGTGACATTTGTTATTACAACAAAATATTTATCCTCGCTATACGGCTTATATGTGCCAGACTGGGGATATCAGATTCCAACACAAGACCAAGGACAACATTCTTGGTTGTATTTGTTTTCTTCTTAACTTACCTTAAATATACTGTACCTCTTCTAAACTGTTTAAGAATCTGAAGGTGAAATGCGTGGTAAGGAGAAACACTAGAGCAGGCTGTAACCAGTTGGAATGCTTGACCGTATCTATGTTACTAGGGATACACCATCCGAACAAGAAACCCGTAAATGCACAGACCAAGTTCTTAAAAAAAAAAAAAAAAAAAAGTTCTTAAACTTGAACTTGCACAAAAAAAAGGTTCTTAAACTTGAACCAGTTGTTTTTTTATTTTCTCAATATATGTTTTGTGTTCCTTTTCATTTGATCTCTTATATCCAAACTTTATAGATCAAATATGTATCTCCTTTCACTAAAAATTGAAGTGCCGCATTCGAAAAACGACACATTTTTTAAGAAAACAACATAAAATTGCTTCTAGCTGTTCTTTGTTTAATGTATATATTATAATTTCAGGTGTTCGATTTATTAAGCTCTAGAAAATATGACAAACAATTTTTATGTTTGATAAAAGCAGAACACTTAGAATTTTATTTACAAAAGTAATTTAATTGCAAGCAATACTGGTCCGGGCGTAGCCCGAGTGATATACTAGTGTTATAGATAAAGCAGTAAACCCCTTCCTTGTGTTGGAGGTGGAGAGAGCTGAAGATCGTGTTTTTTTTTTTTTTTGGTTCGGTTAATCTTAAACCGGTTGAGAAATTATAAACCGGAATCTGGAAAAGAAATAGATAAAACAGTAAAGCCCTTCCGTCTCTCTCTCTCGAGTGTCACGAGCTAAAGAAGAGCACCACGCTATCAATGGCGTCTCCGCGAGTGTTCACCACGCACCATCGACCTCCTCTTCTCCCCTCATCCCTCTCCTCAACCCCTCTAACATCCCTACCACGATTCGTCAAAAGCCCTAACAAACGAACTCCAATCCAATCCGTCCTCCAATTCAACCGCAAACCCCAGCTCGCCGGCGAAACCCCGCGAATCGTCGTCATAACCTCCGGAAAAGGCGGCGTCGGAAAAACAACAACCACCGCGAACGTAGGCCTCTCCCTCGCTCGCTACGGCTTCTCCGTCGTCGCGATCGACGCCGACCTCGGCCTCCGCAACCTCGATCTCCTCCTCGGCCTCGAGAATCGCGTCAACTACACAGTCGTCGAGGTCCTCAACGGCGACTGCCGCCTCGACCAGGCTCTCGTGCGCGACAAGCGCTGGTCCAACTTCGAATTGCTATGCATCTCGAAACCTAGATCGAAGCTCCCCATGGGATTCGGAGGCAAAGCGCTGGAATGGCTCGTCGACGCGTTGAAAACGAGGCCGGAAGGATCTCCGGACTTTATAATCATCGATTGCCCCGCGGGGATCGACGCAGGGTTTATAACCGCCATCACTCCCGCGAATGAGGCGGTTTTGGTGACCACGCCGGATATAACGGCGCTTAGGGATGCAGATAGGGTCACGGGGCTGTTGGAGTGCGATGGGATTAGGGATATTAAGATGATTGTGAATAGAGTTAGGACTGATATGATTAGAGGGGAGGATATGATGTCTGTGTTGGATGTGCAGGAGATGCTTGGTTTGTCGTTGCTTGGGGCTATTCCTGAGGACTCTGAGGTGATTAGGAGCACGAATAGGGGGTTTCCGCTTGTGTTGAATAAGCCTCCGACGCTTGCGGGGTTGGCGTTTGAGCAGGCGGCGTGGAGGCTTGTGGAGCAGGATAGTATGAAGGCTGTTATGGTGGAGGAGGAGCCTAAGAAACGTGGCTTCTTCTCTTTCTTTGGTGGTTAAATGGAACTGAACTGGAACGGAAACTGGACTTCCTCGGGTATGTTATGCGTCAAATTGTTTGTACAGGAAGTAGATTTTTTTTTTTTGAAGATTTTGTCTTGGAATTTAGATTTGTTCGTAAGGACATTTGGAGTTCAATTGCTAGTTTGTTGCTGAGTTTATGCTTTGATTCAATGGCTTTATCTTTCTTCAAGTTCTTGTGTTCTGTATCTGTTTATGTAAAATTGAGATTTTCCAATTTATCTGATGCTTATGTGCTACTTCTTTTTTGTTACGTTGGGTATTGACTTTGATCTTTAAGCCCTTTGATTCTTGATTTTCTATTTATATCTGACTATGTGAGATATTCCGATATCCATCAAGTTAACTGAAGCTCTTAGCGGGCGGTAGCTCATCTTACTACAGCCAACATGTCTGTACTTCTCCAATACTGTGTGCATCCGTCTTGCAGACAGTATAAATGGTGATTTCTGTTGATTTGTCAAGGATTCAGATTCCTTTTTGTTGAACATCTCATCTAGTATTTTGCTCTGTTTCGGTAGAGTTTTATCACTTGGGACTCAATCATACCGAATAAAATTATCAATTGTTTTTTCTGGTGCTGTTGATACAACCCTAAAAATCAAAGCCAAAACCGCCGGTGGTGGCTAGTCAGTTTGTGTCTCAGGTGGTTATGATTGCTATGGGAAGGTCATTTGAATAGATGATGGTAGTGACGAGCACTGCGAATACAACTAGTGATGCAATGGCGCAGAGCAACCTACCTGATGGTTGCAATTGCGAAGACAAGCGAAAATCTAAATTAAAAAAAAAAAAAGGTCAAATTATTAAGTTAAATCAAGGCATGAGCGCAATGTAAAACGTACTAAAGATTAATAGAGGAAAATGTTGACAAGGTAACACACTTTGGAGCCATAGTCGAAAGAGCCGGTGACCTTAGTTCAAGTCATGGAAGCGACAGATGGGGCCGCTGCTAAGAAAAAGAAGACATGGTGACCATCTTTACGCAAAGTCTCTTTGGTGCACGAACAAAACCAATCAACCAACTAATGAGCCATCCAAATGGAATGTTTTCCCCTTAACAAACGTTTTTCTTTTGGGAATTATGCGAGGCATAGTGAATCAGTGATACGCATCACTGAGTACTGATTTCGAAGATGACCGCTCTGATCATGGTGTTGCTTAGTCCCTGGGCATGTTTCCGAAAACCTAACAACCCAAACAGTTTTTATCTTTATAATCCGGAAAAACTGAAATAGAGAATCGAATGGATACCCGAATATTTTAAATATAATAAAAATATTAATTATTATTAATTTTAATATATATATATATATGTAATTTATAAAATCTTGGGTGGAAATTTCTTTTACTGATTTCCCTAAAAAAATATCCAATAACCTGAATTATTCGAATATTTTCGGATTTTTCCGGGTTTAACTCGGTTTGTCAGGTCTTTTTTTTTGGATTTAAATTCCAACCAAACCCAAACTATTCGTAATTTGGTTCCACTTTGAAATTTTCAAAAAAACAAAAACCCGACATAATCCGAACCGTTCCGAAAAAATCCCAGTTCCTAAATGGGTTTCAAACATCCCAATCCGAAAACAGAATAATCCAAACTGACCCAAACTGAATACCCGAATGCCCAACAATAGTGTTGCTAATGATGATGAAGATGATTTTCATGAAGAAGACGATCATTATCATTGCTGCTGGTTTCTATGTAGAGAGATGAGACGTTGGTCATTAGCTGGGAGAGGAACTTTACGGCACCCACAGTTGTTGACTTGTTGTTGTTGTCGTCGTCGGAAGAAGATGTGGGGAGATCATGAGAACATTTGGTGAAGCTGGCATTGAAAGTGATTGTTTTCTTTAAAGATTGATTATCATTCGGTGGTGTATTCAGTATTCACTATGAGATCCTCGTAGTTATAGTGAGCTCCTATTATTATCGAAGTTCAGAAAATAGTTATGCAGTAACTAATCGCTTTGTGGAAGACTAGCCACCAGGATTATTATCAAAACTAGTATTATGGCCCCTGCAAGCAGGGGCAGAATTATTGCCAAAATTATTGTAAAAAATAGAAAACATGAATATATGTAGTTAATTTAAATAAAAAATATGCATAAGAAAATACTATTTTGATAAAACAATATTCTTGCATTCTCAACATAAGAGCAATAATGTATTTTCAAATGTTCAAATACTCACGGATGTAATGTGAAAAGAAAAATAATTATATTTTGGGTTCCTTAATTTTCTCATCGTATCGTATGAAAGCATAACCTGTTTTTGATGGTGATGGTCATGAGTGTTGGTGTGTTAGGCAATGTGTGAAACTGTCTTATTTTGCTCAGACAAAAAAAAAGAAGAAGATTAATTTAAAGATCTCCAAATGAATAAAACTAAAATTGTTCTTTCAAACATGTTAGGAAAAACGACTACCTTGTATGGTTTATTTCTTTACGGTTTACCAAATAACTTGCAAATTTTGTTGAATTCTTAAGCTACGAATCTTAATTGATAAAACTGAAATTTTATGAGGAACATTGATTACCATAAATTTGGATGAATATAGAGAAACAAACCTTTAATAACTGACAAATGTTTTGATGGATGAACTTGAACGTATTGATAGACAAAAATATTTGACGGATCTTTACACATTTGAACGCCATGACTGTTAGACTTTGAGTTGGCGTATTCTCGTTCTACTTCTTTATCCAGCAATATTGAGATTTTATTTTTTTTAAAATGTTTGGGGTACTCTGAATTTTATTTGAGACAAATAGTTTACAATTTTTTATTTATTCTATTAAAATTGGAGTAAATGAGAGATTTAAATGCATAAAAGTGGAGATCGTGGGAGAAGATAGTTAGTGGAAGAATAATTTTGTTGAGAAAACTGAAAAATGTAATATATGAAAAAGAAACAAATCCAAGACAGTTTTATCCAACGAAATCTTTCAAAAAAAAACTGCAAGAAATTTTTTTTTAAACTTTTCAAAAATGCCACTTGTCATTCACAAAATTGTCAATTGACTTGTGTTTTATAGTATAAAAGATTGTGCTAGACATGCATTAGTTAATTATTGAATTATTTTATATATCTTTATAAAATTTTTGGTGTTTAGATATAATTATAAAACTAGATTTTTTGACCCGTTGTTTATTTTTAAAAAAAAAATATTTAATTATAACATAAAACTTGTACTTAAATTTTATATGATATATTTTGCAACATTATTTAATGAAAAAATTTCTATGCTAAACCTAAAAAAAATTTTGTTACAAATATAGACCTTAAAAGTAAAGATGATCAAAATAGATTTAAATGTTTTATCAAAATAAGTAAATATACACTTATATTATTTGGGTTAACTACTCATATACCTTTTTGTTTATAGTTGAGGATTGGAGTTTTGAGGATATGATTTCAAATTTTTTTTTTTTTAAACTTAAAATATTAAAAATAAAAATATTATTTTGGTGATTTTAGTTTTGAGGTTTATTTGTGATAAAAAATTAAAATAAATTTTTTGAAAATGTCTATTTAAGAGATTTTCCCTTATTTAATATTTAGTTGCAAAAAAAAACATTATTTAATAGTTCTTTTAAATGTTATGTATGGAAAATATCTAAAATAGTTAATTTTGTGAAAATAAACAAATTAACATATGTACTCAACTTTTAATATGAAAAGAGAACTACTAGATTAATTATGTGCACAATTATCATTATTCGTTACATTAGAAGATATGGATTGCTGCCTAATATTATTTGAAAGCTTAAACAATTGATCGAAGAATTTAAAGATTCATCCTAAGAGGTGAATCTAAGTTTTGTTCTTTAAAATATATTAATATGACATTGTTTTTGTTAGAGACTGTTCTAAAATTAAGGTAATTTACTAAAAAAACGAGGTGTTTTATTTTCACCTGCTTTTATTAATTATAAATGTTTTTTTAACTAAAAGTTAGTTATAAATGTTGACATGGCTCTCATACTAACGTGAAATTAGGTTAGTGCAATCCGATTTAATATAGTTCGATTCAAGATCGATACATATATTAGTTCGGATTTGTATTTTCCAGACTGATTATTATTCTTTATCCAGCTTCTAGATTTGTAGGCCCGATCCAAGGCACATGCAAAGGAACCGGTCGCTTAGGGCATCCCATTTTTTTATGTAATTTTCATTGTATATAAGGGCATCATAAAAAAATTATATGTAAAATAAGGGCACAAAATTTGTATTTTAGAGTAGGGCATTACACATTTTTTTTAAAAGTTGGACCGGCCCTGTTTGTATGTTATATATTTGGAGGAGTTTTGATACAATAAAAAAAGTTTCTACTTTTGAGGTCTTTCAGAATTTCCAAAGGAGAGTTACAGACGAGGTTAATGCAGAACTTACTAAGAGCGTCTCAGTAGAAGAAATTCATGAAGCATTATTTGATATAGGAGCTCATAAAACCCCTGGACTAGATGGTTTCTCTGCAATATTCTATCATCAGTATTGGGAAGATATTAAACCAGAGGTAGTGGCTGAGGTTCTTAAGTTTTTTGAAGATGGTGTTCTTGATCCTTGCTTGAATCATACCAATCTGTGCTTAATACCTAAAGTATACCCACCAACTGGTATGACAGAGTTTAGGCCTATTGCTTTATGTAATGTGGCCTATAAAGTCATTTCCAAAATATTGGTAAACCGCCTAAAACAGCACCTCAGTGGTCTAATATCAGAGAATCAGGCTGCTTTCATACCAGGACGTATGATCACTGATAATGTGATTATAGCTCATGAAGTTATTCATTCCCTCAAGGCTCGGAAGAGACAGTCTACTTCTTATATGGCAATCAAAACTGACATCACGAAAGCATACGATCGGCTACAATGGAGTTTTTTAGAGGAAACTATGAAACGAATGGGCTTTGACAGAAAATGGATTCACTGGATAATGACATGTATTTCATCTGTCACCTATTCAGTTCTGATCAATGGTTCTCCCGAAGGCCATATAATACCACAAAGAGGTATTAGACAAGGTGATCCTTTATCACCTTATCTTTTCATTTTATGCGCGGAAGTGTTATCCCACATGATGAACAGAGCAATGGATGAAAGAAGTCTTGGTGGTATCAAGATAGCAATGCAAGCACCAGCAGTAAATCATCTATTATTTGCAGATGACTCTCTGTTCTTTGCATTAGCTAATGCAAAAGCTGCAAATAAACTTAAAAAGATTTTCAGTGTTTATGAATCTATCTCCGGTCAAGCTATCAATCTGTCTAAGTCTTCAATCACCTTTGGCTCAAGAGTTTCAGAGAATGTCAAGACACAGATGAGGAATATATTGGGTATTCATAATGTGGGAGGAATGGGAAAATATTTGGGACTTCCAGAGCAATTTGGGAGGAAGAAAAGTGACATGCTTAGGTATATTGTTGATCGGGTTAAGAAGGTCACACAAGGTTGGCATCAAAGGTTTTTAACTCCTGGAGGAAAAGAGGTGTTATTAAAGGCAATTGCTCTTGCTTTACCTATCTACACAATGAATATTTTCAGACTAACAAAGGAAGTTTGTGAAGAGATTAATGCAATACTTGCAAAGTTCTGGTGGGGCTCGGGTGAAAAGAGAGGACTACATTGGTACTCATGGCAACGTATGTGTCTCCCAAAAAGAGAAGGTGGTCTAGGATTCCGAGATCTAGAATGTTTTAACCAAGCATTGCTTGGCAAGCAAGTTTGGCGTATTATGCAAAACCCTCATTGTTTAATGTCAAGAATATTGCAAGCTCGATACTTCCCTGATGGAAATATTCTTGATGCCACATTGAAGAAGAAAGCCTCTTATGCCTGGAAGTTTATTTTACATGGGAAGGAGTTGGTGAAAAAAGGAATGCGTTATGTTATTGGCAATGGAGATTTGATACATATGTGGACAGATGCATGGATACCAGATCACCCTCCGCGTCCACCACGATCATTGATACCACCTACTACTAATGTTAAAGTAAATACTTTCTTTTCTAATGATCTTCACCATTGGGACGAAAGGAAGCTACGGGAATTTGTAGTACCTGAAGATGTTGAGAAAATACTAGCTCTTAAAATATGTCCAATGGCGAGACAAGACCTCCTGGGGTGGCATTATAATGAAGATGGCATTTATACTGTTAAATCAGGTTATTGGGTTAGTTCTCATCAGACGGATCATGCTCTAATACCGGAGATACCTGGAAATGTTGAAACCAAACAGCGAGTATGGAAGACTAAGATACCTCCTAAACTGAAACATTTCTTATGGAGAATGCTTTCACAAAGCCTTCCAATTGGAAGTAATCTTCGAAGACGACATATAACACAAGACGCTATTTGCAAAAGATGTTATCAAGAAGAGGAAACAGAAGAACATCTATTTTTTGGATGTACCTATGCCAAAATGATTTGGAGAGCATCTGGAATTTCAAACAACATCATCAATAATAGCTATCTTTCTTTTGAGCAAAAGATTGAGGAATGTATTAAATGTTGTACTTCAACGACATTAGTACACTTCCAAAATCTCCCTATTTGGATCCTATGGAGACTATGGAAGAGTCGTAATATGCTTCTTTTCCAACGGAAGGTTCTCCCTTGGGGAATAATACTTCGTCAAAGCCTATCAGATGCAAAGGAATGGTTTGAGTTCGGGAACATGGAGTCACAGCAACTACAAAGAAGTGTAGGTACTACCACAGATCACAGAAAGTCAGTTTGGAAGCGACCTACTCAAAGTTGGGTAAAATACAACATTGATGGAGGATTTATAAACAATGAGACTCCAAGTAAAGCTGGCTGGGTTATTCGTGATCACTATGGAAGCTATATTGGGGGAGTTCAAGCAGTTGGCAATAAGGTTAAAACAGCTCTAGAGAGTGAGTTACAAGCTATTTTAATGGCAATTCAACATGCATGGAGTCGAGGTTACAAGAAACTATGTGTTGAGTCAGATTGCAGGAAGGCTATTGATATCTTGAATGGCAATATACTACATTTTGATGCTTATAATTGGAAACGAGATATCATATGGTGGAAGGGTAAATTTGATCAGATGCAGTTTCAATGGATAGGAAGGAATGGGAATAAGGTGGCGGATAAATTGGTTAAAATTCCAATTCAAGATAATGTCTCTTTTAAGTTTCATTTCTATGTACCAGAGTTTATAACCTCTGAACTCCATCGTGACTATGTAAACTCTTTTCAAAATTAATAAAGTAAAGTGTGTTTAAAAAAAAAAAAAAAGTTTCTACTTTCAAAATTCAACATATACTAAGAACAATTACTTTTAGTGTCTGGCAAACTTGAACGAAATGCTTGAAATTTTCCTTTCTCTGAACCGTATGGACATATTTTATAATTTAGTTACTAGATTTTAACCCGCGCTTCAAAAGTGCGGGTATATTTTTACCATTTTGATAAAATTTATTTAAATTAATTATTCAAACACAAAAATTTTAAAATTGTTTTATTAATATTTAAAAAGGTTCTATTATAATGTTTGATTTTCACGTAATGTTTCCATATCCGACCCAGATCCATAGTTGAACCGGTACATCCGGCAATTTTTATATAATCCAATTAAGATTTAATTAAAATTTACTAATTAAAAATTTAAGCCAACCCGATATATATCTTAAAACCCGCTATTAATCTGTATTATGATATCCGCGGATCCGTTAAATAACCCCATAAAAACTGATAATATATTTTTAAAAATTTGTTAAATAATTCATATTTTTATTAAAGAAAATTGTTTTTTTGTAATTTCTTTAATAAAAACTGTCTTGTCATTCGAAAAATGAAACAATGGCAGTAGAAAAAAACACAATTTATTCATATAACAATATTAGTTTCTTTTCGTTATTAATAACCTATGATAAGTTTACATTTTTACTCATTTTATATCTAAAATTTAATTTTTAAAACAAATTGAATTGACATATCATTATTATGGATAAGATGAAACAGTAAATAATAATTTATAATTTTTGATCGCTAAATAATATGATGCTCGAAAATATGATATTAAAATTAAATAGAAAATCATAATTTTCATAAAAGGAAAATTATTATTAATCACAAAAATATGAAAAATTATCAGTTACCATAAATATATGAGATATTAAATTGTTTAATTAATTAAGATTCTAAAAATAAATAGTGGTATTATCTTATAAATGTGATAAAAATTTAGGGGTAAAATCCAAAATTTTAACAATAAGATCCTGCTTTAATAGTATAGATTGTTTCGGAGAAAAAAAATGTATAGTCCTAATTTTGAAGCATATGCGTGGGAAACCAGTATTAAAGAACATTAGCAATAAAATAATCGCCATGGATAATTAATTATGGCGAGTTCTTTGTCCATTACACTTTCCACCTTTTGACAAAAAAGACTTTTACCTTTCTATCATTCCTTTATTTATTACTATCCACGACTACAAGTCTACAACACATCTTATATTAAATCATCTTGGTAAATATATTTAAATTTGCATTTCCAGAATCACAATCCGATAAATGAGAAATTTGGGATTTTACTTGTAAACTCGTAGAGTAGTTCAAATTTGGAATTTTACTGCTATAGTTTGTTGCTGTGTTCAAACTTTCATTGTAGCTTTTTTTTTCATTGTATGCCTTTTGTTTCTTCAGGTTCTTGATTTCTGTATCTACTATATCTATTTATTTATATGTAAACTTGAAATTTTTCGATAGATATCCAATTCTTAGGTCAGATGTGTTATATGAGAACTTCCGATATGAGTTTTTCCCAGTACGATATCATACTTCGGTTAGTAGGCCTTCTCAAATGCTCATAAAAGACATTCAACTCACCCTCAGGGCAAAACTTTATGGTTTGGATCAGAAGTCTCGTGGATCTAGACTGAGTCTCTCTTCTTCTCAAGAATCATATATTCATGCTTGGTTCAGGTGCTTTCATCCTCAGCAGTAGTTTGGAAAATTCAAACATTATCTCAGTCAAATTATCTCTTGCTGCACTTTTTCTTTTCACTATAATGTTTCACTGCCTGTTTTCTTTTCCTTCAGGTTCTAAACCTTGTAAACTTTGCCTTTTTAAAGGTTTGGAAATGAATAAATGGTACTTTTGAGGAAAAAAAAAAAAAAAAAAGTTTTTCCCAGTACGCTAATGCATTACCTCATAATTGGTTTTAATACCCTTTTTTTTTAACATAGGTATTTAATTTGATCTTAAGCCCTGTAGTTCTCAACCTTTTTTATTTCTTTCATATCGAGATATTACTGTATCCTTTTTTTTTCTTTGGAGTACTTTTTTTTGGAACACCATAATTGTATGCTTTTACTTCTTGAAATTGATGTTTAATGTATATGATTTTAGATTATGGTAAACCACTATTTTGAGCTTTGCCATTGGCAGCTTCTAGATCATTACTTTGACGGTTATCCGAGTCTATAAATCTCAAGCCATTCTCAATGTTCTCCGGGATCACGTTGATGATGGTTTGATCATTTGGGAACAGATCGCGGAGGAAAAAGGCGTGGATGACAGTGGTCACGACAAGTCCAAATACGACTAGTGCTGCAATGGCACATAGTATCACACACATGACTTGAGTAATTGTGCTCCTAACCACTGTTGCGTACTTGATGGTTGCAATAGCAGCCCCGGTCATTGGGAAGGTGTAGGCCCACCAAGACAGGGAAAATCTATTTAGAAAAACGGTTGGAGAAAAGTACGATACATGATTACAAAAAAAAAAAAAATTGTGACGACTAAACACGAATTGAAATTTGCATAGATCTAGTAGACTGAAGTTTCCACAACTTACTTGAAACCACGAAAGAAATTAATTCGAACAGCCTAGAAAAAAAAATCGTAGAAAACCAATAAAGTGAAGATTCGTGGTATTAATTAATATAAACTTCTCTGATAAAGGAAAAATACGTATGAATGAAAATAGATGTAACAACGTACCAAAGAGACATAGAGGAAAATGGCAACAAAGTAAAAAACTTTAGAGCCATAATCAAATGAGCCAGTGACATTAGCCCAAGCCATGGAAGCCACGCTTGGAGCCGCGACAAAGAGGAAAAACCCAGGGCTAAGATTTTTAGGAAATGTCCCGGTGGTCGGTAATCTTTGGTAGAGAGTCACAAATAGCACCAAGTAATGAGCCATACCAACGGCGTAAAAGAATATTGGTCCTTCCCTAAGTCCCATGCTTGCACCAAGCAACGCCCCAACAAAGTTCCCAACGATCGAGAGATGGTTCAACGGGTTGGCGACTCGGGACAGCTGGCGTTGACCACCGGTCATCCATTGACCGTAAATCTTGAGCTCAAGACATACGAAAGGAAACATGAGGACGTACCAAAGGGACTGTGGCAGATCCGTAATTATGGAAGGTGGGACTCCGAGGGCTAAGAAGAGTAAGGCAATGAAGGGAGCGAAGAAGAAGTTGATTCTTATTGGGTCGTAGTATTCGCGGCGTACAGCCTCGAAGTAGAGGATGGTTTTGAGGAGGTAGATGGTGGCAACGATGAGCACTAAAGCGACGGAGATGTACCAGAGAGCTTGGTTGATCCAGAGAGGAACGTGAAGGAACTTTGTTGGCTCGGCGGTGGCTAGGGTTTTCCACATTATGGCTTGACTGCTCACTCCAAGGCACATACCTAGTGTGGAGATCGGGTAACGGAGAAGAAAAGGCCATGTTTCTTCACTTGGTTGAACAATCTCTTCTTGAGGCTGCAGTGTTAGGAAAAAAGTACGTAATAGATAATTACAAAAATGTTTTATTAACACGTGATAAGATTTATAAATAATATAGGAAATGAGATTAATTAGAGAAGGAGGTCTTTAACCATTTTTTTAAGTGGAGAACTCTATAACAAACCCTAGGGTTAGTTTTGTTGAGCTTCTTAAATGGAAAGAAGACCAAGATGGGATTCGTGGAGGTTCTTGTGCTCACCAATGTTAGTTTGAGGCTATGGATCGATTTGTCCTGTTATTTCACTGAGTTTATTACAGTAACTGGTGTTGGCTTAGCACAATCTTGGTTTCTTGAGAGAGAGAAGGTGATGGGTTTTATAAACCCTAGGCGAAAGAATCATCATGTTCTTGAGGGAAGGACGATGATGCAAGGAACGGAGAGATTCCACGAAGATCAAGAAGGAGGAGACAAGTTTTCCTTTCATTGGATCGACGAATCGAGGAAGGAGAAGTAACCAGGTATGAAAATGGAGTAGATTGACCTAAAACGATTGATTTAGGTCAAACGATTCCATTTTTCATACCAGAACTGTTACAGGAAAATTCATCGCGTGGAAAGGAGGCTACACCTATTGGTACTCCAACTTAGGTGTACCAATAAGCGTCAAAAGTTAGAGAGAGATAGAGAATTAGAGGAAAAAAGAGAGAGAGAGAGAGAGAGAGAGAGAGAGAGAGAGAGAGAGAGAGAGAGAGAGAGAGAGAGAGAGAGAG